AATGGAGGTCTCTTGAATGCAAACGCGCCCACGGAACAATCCCAGTGGCTGACACTATGGTCCCTAGCAATTTAGAGAGGGAAGCCAAGGAACACCTCCGTGCCCTGGACACCTGAACTGCCAAGGCCCTGAGAGAGTTCTGTCGATTGCGGGACAAGAAAACCCTGCATTCAGCTGTGTCGATCAACACTCCCCAAATGCACCAACCTGGTGGATGGATGGAAGTGGCTCTTGGGTACATTGATTGAGAACCCATGAAGGGCCTGAATGGTGGTTGCCAGGTCCCTTCGTGCCTGCCTAGGTGACGATGATTGAATAAGAATGTCATCAAGGTGGGCCTGTATTCTAGTAGGTACCTCCCGTAGTGCCGTGACCAAGGCCGCTAGCACCTTCGTAAATACCTGAGGTGCCGAGGACAGTCCAAAGGGAAGGGCAGTATATTGGAACTGCTGCCCCAGATAAGAAAAATGGAGAAACTGTCTATGGAGGGGCAAAACCAGAATATGTAGGTAGGCCTCCGTTAAGTCAATTGAAGTTAAAAAATCACCATATCTGATGGAACCCAAAATGGTATGCAAAGAATGCATCTTGAAACGTTTATAACAAATTAACTTGTTTAATTTTTTAAGATCAAGGATGGCTCCCCAGCCCCCCGAGGCCTTAGGAATGACAAAGAGGATTGAATAAAACCCCAGCCCACATTCGTCCGCCGGTACAGGTTGTATTGCCCGTATGTCGAGGAGATGTTGGACCGCCTCCTGCATGAGACGTCTGCGAGCTGGGTTGAATGAGATTGGGCAGGTCCTGAAGATCCTAGGGAGGTTGGAGATGAACTCAAGGGCAAGCCCTTCTCTAACAGTTGATCTAACCCAAATGTCGGAGGTGGTTGTGTCGCACACATCAGCAAAGAAGGCTAACCTACCCCTGATGAGATAACTGGCCCCCGAGGGGCTAGGTTCGGCTGTAATAACATCCCCCTTCTCCCCGAAAGGGGTGCCTAGATGACTTTATCCACTGATAGCGGTCAAGTTGGGCTCTCTGCCTGGAAGAGTAACCTCCCTGCTGCCTATATCCCTGGTTGCCATAGTCTGCCCCCCGAAAGGACGAACTATAGTCCTGGTTCCAAAAGGATGAACCAAAGTCTTGCCCTCAAAAGGAAGAATGCCTGGGATAAGAAGCCTGACGATTGAAGCCCTTCTTAGGTGCAGTAGGGAGGACCTTCCTCTTCTCCTTATTCTCCACCAAATAGGGATCCAAGACATCCCCAAAGAGAGAATTACTTTTGAATGGAGCAGAAGCCAGTCGCCACTTGTGGCGCGCATATCAGCCTGCCACTGCCGGTCACAGGAGCCTGTGGGATACCACCGAGGAAGCCATGGCCCTAGCTGCAAATCTCGCAGACAACAGGGTGGCATCCGAAGCGAATTGCACAGCTGCCACTAGATTCACGATGTCCTGATGTGTGCGTATATCCGCAATGGGGATACGCTGTTGCAGCTCCTGTAGCCAAAGAAGACAGGGTTGGGTGAAAAAGGAGGCCGTGGTAGAGGCTCGGACTGCCCAAGCAGTTGGCTGGTGTCCTTTTTGCAGTGTGAGGTCCGCCTTCATTTCTTCTGGCTTCAGGACGTCCTCTGGAGCTCCTAGCATATGGGCTGGCATATAGAGAGCAATTACTGGAGCATCTATAGTAGGGATAGACAGAAACTGCGCCAATTCATTAGCAACATTGAAAAACTTTTTATCTGAGGTGGAGGGGCTTGGCCCAGATGTGGGAGCTGAATTAAATCCACAAATATCTTTGGCATTGGCACTGTTTCAGCTGGGAGAGACTGCTCAGAATACAAGGATTCAGCGCAAACAGCTGCTGGTCAAGGGATGGAAGCCGCTGGCTGGGACCCAATTTTTGAGGCTACTTTGGCTTTGCCTAGCAAGGATTGGAAAAGAGCCGGAGGGAAGAGGCCTGAGAAGGCTTTTTGCTCCGTCTCCCTGCCCTCATCCTCGGATAGCTCAGCCTCCTTGAGCTCGCCCTCCTCTGATTCAGAGGAATCATCCTGGTCCTCCTGATCAGATACCACCTGCCCTGCAGGGGGTGCCACTGGAGTAGGAGCCGGTGGAGTTGCTACAGGGGCAGTAGCCTGTCTTTGTGCCAGGGCATCCCGTTGTTGCAACCCTGCTGTTGATATGGCACTGGCAATAATATCTTGGAAGTTAGGCAAATACATAGGATGTGCCTGGCCCAGAATTGCTGCGCTGGAGGTGGATGGGAGCGCATCCATTCTCTGGGCAGCTGAGAAGCATGTCATCCCTGACAGGCAGAGGGGCCTGAGGCTCTTGAACAGACCCCCAGATATTTGAGACATCAATAGGGAAGATGGCCACCTGGGGAAAGCAGCAATGATAATTGGCCTTGAGCTGGAGGTGGTTGATCGGATGGCTGGGTGGA